AACGTCCATTTCTTTAGGAACAAACACATTACGATTTGACTCCAACATACATTTAAATCGTTTAAACTCAATGTTAAGTCTCAATGTTAAACACCTGAATACATGTGTAAAAAATTGAATTGACAAGTTAGTCATACTTTTATTTATGGAACTCTTTTCTTCACTAAACAAATACGTAAAAATAACTCCTGTTGCGAAAACATTCACAGAAACGGGTTCCGCTAAAGAGGAGGAAACTATGGTCAAGGGTGGCGGAATCTTTTATGGAGAGTGTGCCGTGTCTACTTGTACCACTCGTCTCTGTAAAGTCACGTTCAAGACTCCACACCTAATGCGGAAAACAACGAGAAGTTATAACGTTACACCAGACAAAGACCCATTCAACGAAAGACGGTCCATCCGCAAACCTGAAGATCATTGGGGCTTAGTCGACACGTATCTCCAGGAGACAAGAGGAGGTTGGAGGTACAGTTTTACAAAAGACAACTGCAGGGGGCACTATTGGGTGACCGGCGCAGTATCAATACAGTGCCGACACAGTCTGTATAGTGTGTCAATACACTCCTTGAGGTATCATTATCCCATCACTAGAATATTGTTCAGTCAGACAAACAGCTGTGATCCGCTCATCGTTAGGGAAGAGAAGAGAGCGAATCCCTCGTCTGGTGCTGTGATATATATCCTCTGCTGGCTCCTCCCCGCCAGCCGGCTCGCCTCGCCTCTAATGTCCGTTGTTGCATTTAAACAGAGGATTGGTACTTTTCACCTTCAACATATGCTTAACACGCCTTTTCTCCTCATATTCTCTTTCATCACTTTTCATGTAACACATTCTAAACGCTGTAATCAATACTCTAAAAAATACAGAAAATACTTCACGGCTGGTTTGGTTTGGTTTCCGGATGTTATCACATGATACTCTCGTCTGTAAACAATAATTATTCAAATAAACTGTACTTTCATTTAATATTCAGCATGGTAGTATCTCGACATCTATAGTTGTAGTGTTAAATCAGTAGGTTTCGGTTTGCACCACTCCATGTCATTTCGCTACTCAATTCACCTCTTTAGGAAATCGTATATTAGCCACATGCTAAATGCTAACCGTAGATGAAGGATTTTCAGAATAAAAGCTTAACTGCTTGTGCACAAGAATTTCTGGTTTTTCAGTATAAAAGAGCGTTTAAACTGACGGTATGTTTAAGCTACATTATACCATCAAAACATTGATTTTAATTTCTAAAAGGCTCTACCTGAATATTTGAACATTCTTTCGTTGGCCAACTATTTGGGTTTCAATTTCATTATTCGGATATTCGTTTTTTAATTTTTTTCAAAAAAAAAAAAAAAGAAGATTTTAATATTATTTTTTCTTCTAAATGTATGCTATTAATAAAGGCGAATTGCCATATTCTTATACAATATTTATACTTTTGAATTGCACTGTTAAAATGCGGAAATATATACAATCTCAGCCTGTGCTCCTGACATCGCGTTCACTCACAGTCACTAACGCAAACCGCACGCTTCACCTCGCTTCACCTCTTTTCACCGACAAAATGCCAAAGACTTCAGCTGTGTGGGACCATTTTAAATTGGAGGACGGTAAGAAGAATATGTGCAAAATATGCGACATGAAACTGGCCTACCACGGTGGCACAACAACTCTGAAAAGTCACCTGGATGCTGTAAGTAGTAGCCTAGCTTAGCTGTTGTCAAGTTGCCATGATGAAGCTGCTTTATCCGCCGTTTAAACAGTAACGTTACACATGATAAAAACGTGCACTTACTTTGCTTGGAAAATAGTTGCAAGCAAGCAACCAAATTGTTTTTTTATATTAGATTTTTTAATTTTATCCGAATAGTGAAAATAATAGGAGTAATGTGGGAAGATCTGGGGCTAAGGCAATGGCATAAAGTTGAGTAGCTCAGCCTAATAATAACTTGTGCAATAACGTGCAAGGTGCTAATAGACGTGCAATGCATCCCGAGCCATCAACGATCCGGGTGCAACGAAGTACAGCAGGTTACCCTACGAGAGGACACATATAGTTAATGTGCGAGAGTACTGAGACAATATAAATAAATATAATCGTAATAGTATGTTCTTTCTGCGCTGGCGCTTAACAGCGTTGATGTCAGGTGTCTCGGATCGAGAGCGTGTCAGGAAAGCTTTTTGAAAAAGAAAATACAAATCTCTCCGAACCGAATATTAGATATTCGCTTCTGATACTAGCCGAAGTATCGGAGCACGAAAAATGGGTATCGGACATCCCTAATTGCTCTTACCAAGCATTAAATTGGGGTTTGGGGGGCAGAGGAAAGAGATGCACCAGTGTCAGTATAGTCTAAATACCTAAACCTAAACCTACCCTATCTCCAACCATTTTCTCCTATTAATAACCACAACCTGTCCTTCCAACTTCTCATCTCTTCTCTTCCTTGCTGGTAAGCTCGACCCATAACCCCCTAACCCGTAACGCCATATTAGAGGCAAGCAATGGAGGTCCAATCTCGGAAGACGTCCGAACAGTTGGTGCGGTTTACCCAAAGTGACAGACGTAATAGCCGTTATAGAGGGCAGATGACGTTGCCACTTCGGGGAGAGAGACCTCCAGCATGTGTCCCTGGAAATGGGGACTCTGTTTATTTCACACAGCCGGAGGTACAGGAGGACCGGAAGTCACCTCTCTGTGGCCCCTCCAATACCCCCAAAGACGGGGTGACTACAGAACCTCCAGCATGTGTCCGCATGGACATGGACTCTGTTTATTTCACACTCCAGGAGAGGACGAAGGGGTAAATCCCCTCTCTTGCCGCTCACAGGATCCCCGAAGGACGGAACAGAGACCTCCAGGCATGTGCCCTGAAGATGGGGGACTCGGTGTATGTTCAACACATTCGCAGACAGAGACCGGGAAAATCACCTCTCTGTGGCCGGCGCTCCAAGGAAACCCCGATGAAGACGTATCTAATGACCTCCGAGATTGTGTCGCTCT